TTTAATTGAGGACTTAATAAGTCCTTCTCTTCAGTGAGATTAGCAGTGTATGTTCTAAGTTCAGAAAWAAACTGTGGGAGTTCCTTGGTAGCAATAACAGTAAGCTAAACATGGAAGTTTCTTTAGAAGGAGGTGAAAGGGGATTTTATGTGTACAGCATTTAGAACACATACAATATCATGGATCAACACCTTGCATATCATACAGGGAAGGCGAAGTGCTATATACTSTAATACACTCGCGTTTTACATGTCTGTGTAAGAAAAACAGGAAGCAAACCTAGRAATCTTTATGCATTTTGATGCAACTCTCTTGAAAAAGTGTGTTTATTGACTTCATTATAAAATAGTAGCTCACTGCTTTTCTTCWGTCCTTTGACTTGTCTACTGAAAACAGTAGATAAACAATGGGGTACATCATTATTTGTGATCKCTAAAATTTGAACAGACAAGGTATTGGCTGGTATCATGGATAATCCTCAGRTAGACAGTGCTATAAAYGTGGTAGGCCTTTTTGATTTTGCTRKTTTTTWAAAAAARTTATCTCAGTAATCGTCTGTGTGGTAAGAGTACTTGGTAAAGATCTGAACTGTGCTTTGGATTTCCTTTTGACCATGGAGTATCTTACGGTTTACTCTACRTAGTGAAATGGGAGCGTGGCTTAATTGCTTTCCCTGCACCGCTGAAGTCTGGGGATTTTTGACATAAAAATGGATGATTAACTACTTGTGTGGGGACTTCTTAAAAATAGTTTGTTGTTCTTGCTGAGTCATCCTCTTTTGGGTAGTAGTTAGTTTCTGCAAATGTGGTGGTAGGGCCAGCCTTGTCTTCTACTTGTAAAAAATGTTTACTTGGCATAGCCTTGGCCACTGATTTGAGACTATAGACACAAGAATGCCTCTTATTCCAAGAGATAAAACTATCTGGTGTTTGATTTYGGAATATGGGTAATTTAGAAAGTTTTTTAAAAATTAAWRAAAGCCTTTGCAAGTTRCCATGAAATTTAARTATCAGGAATATTCTTTTCTTGTCCAAATGCCATTTGGTGCTCTTCTGCTCTTTTGACAAGCAATTTTAGAGTTACCTTGCAAAACATGTAAGCTTAATTAGTATGGACTCGTATTCATTTCACTACTTCTCACTTTCTTTTCCCTCAGGAGTCATCTTGCTTGATATCAGATATGATACTAGATATGTATGAGATAAGTGTCTTCCCAAATTAAAACTGACCTAGTTTGTTGGAAGCTTTTATTTGAAGATGATTTTAACTGGAAGGGCTTAAATTTAAGACCCTTGAGTATCAAAGTCAACTTGTGATGCCAGTTGTCATGTTACTCAAATGCAGAATGAAACAAAAGAAGCAAAAGTTAAATAAAGAAATAGCTATGGCCTTTACAACAAATGCAGTAACATTTTATAGTAGAAAGCTGTACCTTATTTCCAAATATTCKAAGCAGTGTACAAACAGTTAAAGAAATGCCTTCCCTTTTGGGGGAGAATGGCATATTCCTACCTGGCAGGTGTGGGAARAATCACAAAGGGGAGAACTGAGTTGTCTGATTCTATGACAAGTCTTCAGCAGATAATTTAGGGTGACGTGTTTTTTTGAACTTCATGTGTTTCTCTATTCTATATGTTACACTGTGCTTGTTCTTGTTTTTAAGAGCCTAATATAATGATCACTATTTTAATTAGCTTCCTATCATCTCTCAGTATTCATATGAAGAAGTGGGCAGTTATAGTTGTTATTGCTGTGTTGCTGTGCATGTCTATTTAAAATTAAATAGTAATTCTATATATTTTAATGCAATACTTCCTAAATTTCATCTGTATTTAAGAAAAAAATTGAATGAGTAGTCTGTCRTTCTTTGTTTTAAAGAAATTGTAATTACAGAAATCATAAATTTTTTAGGGGTTTTCCTCTAGTTGATTTGTTTTTGTTTTTAATATAGCATTAAATYGTAATTTTACGTGTCATCAAAACAAATACAGCGTACAAATCGTTCTGTTAAGTGGTCATTTTGGAATAGATCTCTGAATAAACTTCCTTCTCCAAAGCATTGCATGCTTAAAATATACATACCCAAAAAGGTGAATACTAGTTATATAGTTATATATATAGTTATATRTATATATAGTAAGTTTCTCTAWGAAGTATTGTTCTGTACTTCATMAAAAAAACACTTAAAATTTAGTACTTCCCTGCTGCATTACTTACAATTGCTGGYTGAATGCTGAAATGTTTTCATGTCATAATGAAAATTGTCAGCTAAAATAAGAAAATGTCCTTATAGTGTTTTTCAGATTTAAAATATTATAGTTATGGCCATAAACCATAAAAATAGAAAGAATAAATCTGAGTCAGATCCACAAATAATCAGTTGAGTAATGTGCTTCAYGAATGGTATGGTTACTTGGGGACATTGGCTTTTCATAGTATGAAAGAGAAGGAATGGGGATGAGTGATCCACACCCAAATTACCTGGTGCTTTCAGTCATTTGATGTGTTTATTACAGCTCATTTATTGTATTCTTTGGTCACCTCTGAGTTTGAAGGTGTTCATGTAGGATACTACAAATTCTTATGCAGTATCAACCTTCCATTTAGATCTTCTTTTCAGAGGGTCTCTTCAAACATACTCCAGTACAAGGAGARCTGACTTTTTTCTATATTCAAACCTTGCTACTTTGAGCTCTATGATTTCTTGTTACTAAAAAAATKCATTGTATATTTGTGATTTGATTGAAAAATCAGGAAAAAAGCCTATTTRTTGCCTATTCTAGACTATTTGCAAATCTAGTTAACTTTTGGGGGTACATTAAGTGAAAACTATGACATGTCAGAAAAGTCCAGTGTCGATTGTACTCAGGTTTAGTGGATTTTTAAGAGACAGACAACTTGTGTGTTTGCTGTGCTTTAGGAATGTGTAGGTTTTTTTTAAGAGTACTGGATGTTGCTTTGTCTTTAGCAGGGGTCTTAGTGCAGGAGTCAGAATTTTGTCTTAACTGGATGTATAGCAAATAGAACTGTAAGGTGTATGTTACTTGTACTGGTAAAAGAGTGGATTGGAGGGTAAAGGTGGCCAACAAACTGTGATACAGACTAAAGGCATCCTCTCAAGCCAGGAATCTGGCCTGATGCTTTTTTATACAGATGAGCTACACTTTTAGAGAGATTTAGACTTGATAGGTGTTCTTAAATATTCTTGAGACCACAGATTTGAGTTTATCCATAAATAAACTCCAGATAATRTAGCTGTGTCTTCCTAATTTGTATTTTGGGGTTTTTTTTTGTAATTGTAATGAAACATACAGAACTGATCTTACAATATTGATTGACAGAAATCATTTGATAAACTCCAAGCTGGATTTGTACTACTTGGCATTCTGCAGATATCTGCCCAGTATATTAGCATGTGTTTTGTGGTTGTTTTTGTTTCTAGATTCTTCAGCAATGGATTTCAGAACTTTCAATGATTAATTGAGAATAAAATAATTTGAATTGCAGATTATATTAATGTGGGAGCAGTTGAAGGCACTTTAGGATTASCATTTACTGCTGACAAGATGGAAGAATAACCTGAAATAAATCTCTTAACATGTGGAAAGTGCTACCTCAAATGCAGTTAATTATTCAAATAAATATAAGATGAAATAGTTGGCTTGAAGAATATGAGCTGGTGATCTGTTGCAGATCATAAATGGAAGAGAATTTTTACTAACATGTAAGGGAAAGCATAACGTTCTGCTGATTTTAATGCTTTCTTTTAAAGTATCCCTTATGAAAACCAGGAAGTCTCTAATCTCCTCTGCTCAGTGCTGCTGAGGCCTCARGTGGATCCATGTATCCAGTTTTGGCACAGTGAGTGAAGACAGAGGTAAACAGTTGGAGAATGTCCAGAGGAGATAAAAATGATTAGCTGTCAAGGAAGCATGAAAAGAGAAATTAGTGAGAATTAACATTTTTTGTTGTGAGCATGACTCTGTCAAGATGAATCACAGAATATTCTGCGTTGAAAGGGACCCAGAAGTATCATTGAGTCCAACTCGTAAGTGAATGGCCCATACAGGGATCAAACCCATGACCTTGGTTTACACCAAGCTGTGACTTGCAGTGTTTTGTGAAGAACAGAGTAACTCCTCTGTGAGGATGAGTCAAAGTAATTAATCTAGAAACAGAGATTTAGACATAAGGAAAAAATACTGCTTGGCAGAATAGTTGAACTCTATATCCATTTGCATRTGAAGGCCAAGGCATCCCTATCGTCAGAAGCTTTTAAGAACAGGTTAGACAAGTGTCAGGGGTTGGTTGATTCCTCCGTCACATAAATGGATTCATATTCTCGAGATCCTTTCCAGTGCTTTAATTAGCTTGAAAATAGCTGTAAAAGAAATGACTTGTGTAGGAGTTAGTATTGATTTGTAAGAGTTGTTGGATTTTTAATTGARACAAGCAAAGATTTTTTTCTTCTTCAAAGCACCACATAATGTATTTGTTGGGTAAGTCCTGAGGAAAAAAGGTTTACGTGGCCTTAATGAGAGTGAACTAYCTCTTCTAAATCTAAATACAAAAATTGCAGTTCCTAACACATTGGTTTTTTAAAATGTATTTGGTTTTATAGATGCTTTTGTCTTGCACAGTAACCAGGTTARTATTACCTTGAGGCCTTTCTTCATCATGCCTTTGTTATTATGATGATTCTGAAAAAGTGAAGACCTACTCAGTAATGTAAAACTGGTATGGAAAGACTCTATATACTCTTGTGGTAGATTGTCATGATGTCTTTTAAATCAAAATGGCTTAAAAATTGTGTCTGGATTTGTAATTATTAAGGAGGAGTCCATTTATTTGTTAGTGTCTGTTTTAGGGGATCATACCTTCTTTTCTTTAGTTTCTTCTCCTGACCCGAGTGGCTTAATTTGGACTATGTTTTAAGTATGATATTGTTTGACATTAGATTTTAATGCTTCATTTGATTTCTTTTTTTTCTGCCTTCCAAGGTCTCTGTCTTGAGAAGTTGCCAGTATCTTCCTCAGCTAGCAATCTCCATGTGGACCGTGAACAAGAAATTGTTACATGCTAYGAGAAGGCTGGGGATATTGCTCTCCTGTACCTTCAGGAGATAGAAAGGGTAAGCTGGGGTGATTTTCTTAATTGAAGAATTGTGTGGTTCATCTTTCGTTGATGTGGTCTTACCAACATCTTGGTAACTCAACAAAAACATGTCTGGTATTTATTTTCATAGCAATTCAGTGCACATTTACAATTAGATTAGTATGCACAATAGATTAGTATGTCTTAATAGATGTCTGGTATCTACCCTTCTGACTCTTAAACAGTGCTAATAGTATAAAAAGAGACAGAGCTCCTCTGAGCTACTGTGTACATTCAAAATGCTGGTCTGGGGCCTCTTGTTACCCTATTCAGAATCATAGGATTACAGTGTCTTTCAAACACGTATGTTGCAATATGTTGCATGTATATACTTACTAGCTTTTTAGATAATTCTTAAAAAGAATGTAATTTAAAATGAAGCTATAAAGACTGAAAATCAATCTTGTTGATGTTTATTTGGAACCAATAGCATARCTGCACTTAAATTCTCTTTTATAAACTACTTGAAGGTAAAATTCTGACATAACATTGTACCAGTCAGCAAGTTCAATGATGTATCAGCCAGAATAATAACTGGAAGTGTGTTTGCTCCAGCTGATAGTCACAATCCTAGGGCAATGATTGTGAAATCATCAGATTTCATAAAAACATATGATTTTGAAATATAGATCTATTTCAGATAAATCTTAATACTTACATAAATTGAATCAGGAAAAGCTTCTTGGATTTGATAGCCCATCTGTCTCATTAATATATTCCTTACTGTAAGCATGCATAGAACTACAGTCACTGTCAAAATCTGAGGTACTAGGTGTATAGTAGACTTGGTTTTTATTGATGCAGGCTCTCATATCTGAGCTTCTTAATGTTAGACAAAATATAACCTCTGGACAGTTCTGCAAAATATTAGAATATTATAAGTGCCTGTGCCTCCCTCCCTTTTCTAAGTTATGGATATGAATTATGGGTAGTTAGACTTAGGCTCTTCATTTGGTAAGAGCATAACACAGCATGATTTAAATGCTTTAAGCTTTATCCAAATTTAAAGGGATACATAGCCTCTGTTATTTCCTCCTCTTGATTTCATTTACATCATTAACTTTTGCCTTCTGTTTGMTACCCTTAGCAAAAATTATAAAGTGATATAAATGCTTTTTTGAAAGAAATTTTTGGTACCCTTTATTTCTAGGAGTTACATACTGTTGTTTTAATTTAGACTTTGAGGTACAATTGAGGAAAATGCACTACACTTGGGGCTTTGTTCTTTGGCCTGTGAATGGTGTTAGAATGAAGTGAACTGGCAATATCCATCTGACTTTCTCAGACCCATTGCTTCCTGTCATTTGACAACTGTCTTTGAAAGGGTTATAAGACACAGGGTCATGAAAAACAAAAGAAAGGGGAAAGAAAACTGATGTGATGGGGAACGTAAGTAATTCATGCGGTTTTTGAAGCACACACAGGTTTTTATTTTCTGAGGGTTTTTGCTCATTTTGTTACTGTCTTTTAGTGGCTRGTAGACTATGTGACATGAATATGAAGGAAAATGAAAGCCGATAACTCTTCATTTTGACAGCATTTTTAATACTGATGTAATACAATTATTTCTAAATTTTATGGAAATCCCTCTGGAGATAGCTTTTAATCTTCTTACTGCTCTCTGCAGCAGTATTTTCTAACCTAACAGGAGTTTCAGATTTTTGAATAACAACACCTCCTGCTACTGCATGAGATTGCAAATATACTTTTTCATATTCTTCTCTTTTGTATACCATTCTTCACTAAAAATTCTGAAAAAGTATTATAAAATTTTGCTTAGCAGTATTTCTGCTTGATCAATAAATTATCTTTAAGGGTATAGCCAAGAGCAAAAAGGTTTATATTTAAATGGCAAAGGAGGTGAAGTTAGAAATAGTCTACTCGCCACCACCTACAAATGGCAAAGATTTCTCCAACATTAAATATTCCATGTAAAAGTACACAAAACTTGATTTTTGTTGTTTTCCTAATAGAATGTTTTTCCCTGTTTCCTTTTGTTCTCTTAGGTAATTAATGCCAATATACAAAACAGAAGCCCTAAGCCAGGGCCCACTGCACATGAACAAGAACTTGGTTTTTTCCTGGAAACAGGACTTCAAAGAGCACATGTTTTATATTTCAAGAATGGGTGAGATTTGATTCTTCTTTTATTGTGTTTGCTTTTTTATTTAGGTTTTGTATTTGTATTTTGTATTAATTGGGCATTAGTTGTAGTAGTTGTGGATTCTGTAATTGTGAGGTCTCTTATTAATAAAGTAATAATATTTTGATTAAAATAGTAAGGCTGCCCATATTGTATTTATTTACATATTACAAAATGGGTTAGTCAAAGTATATTAAGCAGAAAGCATATTAAGCAATAAGCAAAGTATATTAAGCATTTACTTACTAAATGTAAGAACTTAAAGTACCTTAAGCTTTAACTATTTGAAATTGATTTTATTATTAAACACTGTTAGAAAGTAACTGACAACATATTGAAACTCTTGAATTTTTTAATATGGGTTTTGTAATTTTTTTCCAAATCTCTTCAGTTGTCACTTATTTTAACATTATGCTGCAGGATAAATGTGCATGAAGATCAACAGTATGTATACAAGTATACAATCTCCATTGTACCTGCTTTGTAGATCCCTTTAGACTCTGCATGGGAGATCCTTTATAATTTATTTTAAATAAGGCTTTGCTTAAAAGCCTAAAAATAAATTCTGTTACCACACAAAATGAGAAAAAGAATACAACTCTCCATTTTTAATAACTTCAGAGCTCAGCACAAATGGGTTTTAAGTACATTTCTGACATTTGTTGCAATCACATACTTTAAAAATTTGTTTCTGGGGCTTCTTACTTGATTAGGAAAATATGATTTTACTGAAATATTGRAACTCTTGATAGGACTACTGTTTTGTACCAAGAATGTTTCTTATTTTTTCAAATACATAAACTGAAGATGAAGGAAATCATGCAGYGTCTGTAAAGAGTTCGAGATTTTAATGTACTGATGGAAGAGTAAAAAAAGGCTATCYAAGTTTTTAAACTTTTTAGGGATTCCAGCATGGAAAGGATCACTACTCTTTTGAAATCTCTTTTTTAAGGTAATGAAGTAGTGGTGCAATRGCATGGTCTGAGAGTTACACTTTAGTTCTGTTTTCATAATTTAATTGCAGGAGGAATGGAATGTTCTGAAAGCTAATTTTTTTCATTTACCAGAACTAAAAATAAGATCTCTGTTTTCATGCCTCAGAAAAAATAAATAAAATACAGTTACTGAAAAAATCCCAGTGGCAGTCGTGGTTAAGTATAAGCTAAGAATTCCATATTTTGAGGGATTTTGATTGAAGGCCAGGGGTAGAAATGGTGCATTTAATATGACATGTCGTGTGTAAAAGCAATCTGCAGTAGACATAGCAGGTTGTGATTAGTGAAGGAAACAAAAAGCAACTGCACAATAAAGTCATGTAGTGGATTGTTAAGGACTACCCAGCCAGGAATGYTTTTCCTAGACCATATCAGCTGGTCTGGTGTGAACTTTGAAAGGTGATTGTATTCCATGTGCATTTTAATCCTTCACAGTGCAATTGTTGGTGATCCTGTTAACTCCTACATAAGCATTTAATCTTTTTTGCAATCTTTCATACAGCGATCCCTTGCAGCTTATAAGCTAATTATGTATTATAAATGTCATTTTGAATTTCTTCTCCCATTTCCATTGGCCAGCACTTTCTTTGTGGTATGATAGGAAGCAAGGCACTAGGAAAAACCGCTCTGTGATAATCATAATTTTACATATTCCTTCTGTTAAATGCTTCAGTTTCCTTCTATAATTCAATCAGAGCTTTGTCAATATTTCCTAATATGGTCATTGWTCCAGGCTGCTTCTTATGGGGCTGCTTTTAGAGATTGCGTTTTTAGTTTTTTAACTTGGGTTTACCAGAACTGAAGAGAACTTTAAATATATACTTATTCTATTTGGGACAAACTTAATTTATAGCCTGCTTTTTAATTCATCTATTTTAAGTATGTTTTGTTTCATTTTTAAATGGGTTGTTCCTCCTGATGTTAGGTTTATAGAAAGTTGATTTGAGATCTTTCCAGTAAGTTTTGCAACATATTTGAAGTTTGAACGTAATCTAAGATATTTTTTGTGTATGTGTGTCAGTTTCAAAGTAGAAAAGAAAATCAGATAACTTTTATATGAGCTGGAAGACCATAATTTCAGCAGAACTTAGGGAGCATGGCTGCCTACCCATRAAGTTGGTTGATCTACTTTAAATTTTCCCTTCATTTGTTAACTGGACAGAGATTTTCTTTTAAATCAAGTTCTTGTAGAGGATTAAGTGATTAACTTTCAGGTATGCATTATCTTGTATGAAAAACTAGAAAGTGCTTGAAAGTTAACTTAGCCTTTCTGTTAAGTGGTGGTATTTTGAGAATACATGGAAATGCAGTTAGTTTAAAAAAAAAAAAARAAGTGGAAATAGTCTGAACCAAAAAAAATTTGTTTTAGTGCTATTAAGACAAAACTAAAATTAATGTTTTTTTCCTGAAGTGATCAAAATTTTATTAAAGAATCAAACTACATACCAATTTTTCACTTTGGACATGAGAAACATTTCATCTTGGAAATGTGCAATGAAGAAGTTGAGGAAGTCGTTCTAAAACTAAGTGTAGGGTTTATGTGTTTTTCAAAAAAACATTCTGAAATATGTAACTTCACATGTCTTTCAGACTGATTACATAACTTGTGTAGTAATTGCTTTGTAATTTCATATTAACGGAGTTAAAAGTCCAGATGTTTTTACAAGAAAAGTGTGAGCAGAGGAATTTTGACATTGGTATTTGACGTAGCTATTTTCAAGCAGAATGTCCGTGAGAAAGAAAGGACAGTTGTTTATGTACCCAGCGTTTTCTTCTGTCCTACTATTTGCTTTGTATTCCTGTAATGAGATTTATAAGTTAATTTTGTCTTGGTTGTGGTTTTTATTTTTGAGGTATTTGATGTTCACARATATAGAGGAAGTATGCCCTTGAAGCAGAATGGCATTCTAGTTGAAGTCTAAAATCAGGTGAAATCATGTGAAAACCAGACTTACCAGACTTACCTTACTTTCCGAGCTTTTTTTTTGGCCACTCCTTTTTTTTTTTTTACAGCCACTCCAAGGATATTGCTCTGGATCCAGACCACAATTGGGTCTAGTCTCCATCAAGGTTCACTTACTCAGTCAAAGCCTGAGGAACCTGGAGCAGATCTCCTCATGGTGCCATTTCCTGTGCTGGCACAKCCAGAGTGAAGCCAGACATTCCCAGTCTCCTTCAGCAAGCTTTTTCTTATAGTCTGGCTTCTCCATAGAAAATTAGCCCTGAATAAAAGTAATAAAAAAACCCCTATTTTTTCTTGTTTTTTTCATGTATTTGATATAATTGATTTATATGGATTTAAAATGTTTGACAAGCACAACAAAGAGCCCTCCTTAGAATATGGGACTTGAAATCCTACATTGAAATCCCACAAAATATCACATACCTTATATGTGAGATATGACTGCTATATATTGGAAGGCAAACAAAATCACTTCTCTTGTAGTTTTCAAAACCGTTTTGTTCTTGATATTCTTGCTTTCATGTTTGTGTTAGGAAGCTAAGGCAAGAATACATTYAATATAGGAACAAAAGTCACTGATCTGTGATTCCTAGCAAAATGAAGTTTTCAAAGGATACTTTTTATGTGTCGTATCGGACACTTTCCTCATCCTTATTTCCAATACTGTTCTTGCCTGCTAGTTTTCATTGATAAAAACTATTTGAACATGAGAAGAAATTATTATTCCCTCAGATATTCAAGATAAAATCATCTATTATGAAYGCTTTTTCTTTCAAACCTTACTGTATGTTTATTGCTCAGAATTGTGTCTTAACACAAGAGTKTAAAATAAGGTTCCATTGTGAATTTAGAGGTAGGAAACCTGCCAGYGTTACATGGAATACTAAGGTGCATATAAACATAAAGGAATCGCTTTTATTCAAAATCATATCAATTTTTGTATTAACTGGTTATACAAAGACAGTGAAAGAGTAAYCTTAGTATCTGAGTTGATGTTCAAGATTGATACTTTTAATAATTTGTGGTTGGAATTCTGACTCCAGCTCACTTTTTAAAAAAAGATGCTAAGCATATTTTAGTCAATGTACTACGTATCTTGCTGACAGTGGCTGTTGATTGCATTTGCAAGCATCAGCTTCAAGGTTTTGGTTTGATGTTGAGTTGTGATGGCTGGAAAACAAAATGGTCTTGGATCCTCAAACTGGGCCCCTGCTCCCCTCAAAATGCGTGCTTTACTGCTGTGCTCTTGTTTTTCCTCTGTAAAGAGGAGATACCTACTGTCATCTTTCCCAGACCTACGYTCCTAGTGGGCATTTTCTTGTTTGCTTTTTGCTGGTTCAGATGCTTGTTTGGTTCTTCTGTGCAGTCTTTTTTTTTCTGAAAGAAATCTTAGCTTTCTGTCRTTCTTGTGAGATGATAAATTGATTCACGGGGTGATAATGGCTGGTGCGGCTGTCAGAAAAGAGATAGGACCATGCAAGTGAGAGTAGGAAGATACCAAGAAGGAAGAATGGTGGAAAAAGAGAACAAATACTAAGAGATGAGAATGGGGAGAATGAGATCTTCCTCTTCAGAWTGTAAACCATTAGGTGGACTAGTGTTTTCATTTTGAGTATATAAATGCAAAAATTGCTGCTTGATGGAGCTCTTTCAWATACTTAGGCTTGTGTAGCTCTAATGGCACACTGAAAATGTTTTATTTWTAAGCCCAAAGTTAAGAACTTTCAAGCATCAAGCAAACATGATGTGTAGTATTCACTTCTTTAGTGAATTTGAGATATGTGGGATCTTTTGTTCTGCGTGAGGTAACAATGGATAAAATGAGAAGTGTGCTGTGGTCTTTTAGAATCTGGCAGAAAATTAGGGATTTTCTACATTTTACTCAGAAAGTAATTCCCAATGTTAATTAATGTTTTGTGAAAATTATATAGTATTGTGGGTGTACTGAAAGTATAAGTGTGAAAGGAAGAGAGGAAAACCAGAACTGTATGAAGTTGCAACTATGTTGCCTCTCATAAATACCTAAATGCTTGCCAGGGTGTTTTTCTAGTTCTGGATTAAGTTGTCCTCCACCCTCCTAAACCTCAGGGAAAACAGACATTAGTCAAAACCATCTGAAGCATCATTCATTGTGGAATGATGTAGCCTTGTCTATTTAATATCAGGCCTTTAAAGTTGTGGAAGAGAACCAYAGAATTGCAGTCCTTTTACATTTTTTTAGGTCATCTTTATAGCAACTTGGCAAATGCCATACCTTGGTATTAGGATGTTCTGTTACTGCTTAAGAGTTAATCTCTTGATTTGTCACATTTCTTGCTTTTTGCTTATGTAGTAGCTTCTAATGTGAAATTGTTTCTGGCCTTAATACAGTGTAAATTACTCTTAATTGGCTGAAAGATATTAGAATATGGATTTTAATTGTTATACTTTTTTTGTAAACATGCCAGTTATATTGAAGCTACTGAAATGTCACTGCTCTGATTGGCATGCATATTAAGAATTCTCCCTGCCCTTACTACTTACCTTTAAAATTATTCCTTGCTTTACTTTCATATTTGAATTTTTAGGAGAAGAAAAYAAACCTTTAAAATTTACAGTGTACCTGTGAGTTTACAAACATTGTGTTTCTTTTTCTGTTCGTAAATATGGACAGAAAGAGAGATAACACAAGARAAGGTGGGAAGTGAACTTAATTCCAAAAGTAACTGCTGTTTCATCACTTTGGTCAAGCTCTATAGATTTCACTGTTCTTGGTTTCTCTCCTTTTAGAGGATGAATATTTTTAAAATGTCATATAGTAAGGCTCAGCAATGAAGTAATAGAGTAATATAAGCAGCTCAGCCTCTTCAGCACCACRGCTCTGGATGTGCTGCTGTCTCTTAAATGGAGAAGTACTTTAGCCACTAAATTGTAGAGCAGGTGAGGTTTAGTATAGCTCAGTAAGTAAAAATTTATTCTAATTACATTTTGAATCATTAGAAGGCTAAATATTTGGGGTTTTTGGTTGAGAAGAATAAAGGAAATGCCTGACAAAGCCTTTCTCACTAATGGAGAAGATATCACCAAAATATGATGTAACTACAGAGTAAATTAATCTTATGAACCTTTCTGAGGTTAATTTTAAAACATTTCTTTTGTAGTCTGAGTATGTTGTGATTAGATTTCACTACTTTTTTTTATAAGGAATAGTGTTTGGATTTTTTATTCTAATATCGTTCAAACATARATTGCTTCTTGTTAAGCAGTTTCTTTCATTCTTATCTACTTTWTGTGTGTGTATTAAAAACCAAAAAAATAAAGAAGTATTAATGGGGATGACGTTTACTGGGCCAGTAATGCCAAAGCACCGTGTTGTTTGATGCCAAACATCCTTTTTTTAAAATCAAGAGACTTGGTGCTGATGGTGACAAATATATTTGTGCCTAAAGTTTGCTCCTGCTGGCCTTCATGCCTATATACTGGTTTTCTGATCCTGCCTTAAAAGTTTGTCTTTGGTGCCCCAATTTTCTTCCTGCACTTTGCTTTCATCATATCTACAGTTAATAATTTCTGTATCTGTTTAGGAGTGAGCACCTTTATATAGGTGCAGTTAAGATATTTTCATTGTTCTAAACAGAAATATTGCCTGAAATTTTTAGGGAACCTAAAAGTTGATCTTGTATCAGAATAATTAATTAGGTTCTAACATGAATTGTTGGGGTTTGGGATGCAAATAGGCCCTAAGGGCATGTCTGTATAGACTTTCAGTAGGTCTTGGTTCTCAGCCTAACTGGMAGATTGGTAAATAGAGTCAAAGTAGGGTTGGGTTTTTTTCTTGAAGATAAAGCAGCAAACATTCTAATTGTCTTTAAAAATGAGGGAGATGCAATTCAAAGGAGTTATTTTGAGCATGTTCTGACAGGAGGCAGTCATATAAACACGTACATGTATGTAAATATCAGTGTTCATCTGTGGGCTGTCTTTGTCTTGTCTGAAATCACTGAAAACACGTCAGCTCCAAGTGAATGTTAATGTACCTTAAAGTTCCATGTCTGTGAAAGGAAGGGATCTCAAAGTCATTTACAGACACTGTGGGACATTGCTCTCTGAGTTAATGTGCCTTTTTGCTCTGGCATTCAATCAGCACAGCGAGAACTGTTAGCGTGAAGGCACATCGTACTGAAAAGCAGGTAAAAGCTGTGTGTGTCCYAGGCTAGAAAGGAAAAACATGTGCCAGAATAGCCACCACCCTTCTTCTCAATGTTACAGACTGTTAACAAATACAGGAAATGTACTTTGCTAAAAGCATTGTGGTGTGGAGATCTACCATATTATTCATGGTATATTTTGCTTCATTTATTGTCCCTCAAAGCATTTAACTCGATCTTAGGGTGATTTAGATTGTAGTTTCAAAGTCTGTTTTTAGTAAATTTCATGTAGAAGATGCTTGACAAATCTGTTTCGTGTTTGTATTGACCTGTGCAGTGGATCACTGTTAAATGCTTTATGAAGCAAAAGCTAATTCTGTATTTTAACTGCTTTTATTTTCTTATACAATCTTACTGCTTTTTCCATGATACGGTAGAACTTCAGTCACAAGTTTCAATCCCTTGCAGATGCTTAAAAAAGTGTAATAGGTAACTAACAGAAACCTGTCATGAAGTGTTTAAGGGCTTGTGAAAATTGCATGCTTTTTCATAAAGTGTTTTGTTATTGTTCTTGTAACACATCAAAAGACATAAACTTCACATGGAAAAAAAAGCCAATTCCTAAAATTTCATGAAGTTATTGTGATTTGAAGTTCTACTACATAGAACCTGTTTCATGTGCACTGAGAAAATAAAGTTTCAAGCTGACAAGTTCTTTCTCATAACTCATTTTTGACAATTTTGTAGGAACGTTYCAGTTTTTCACCAGTCAGATTTTTTTGGTTGGGGTCTTTTTGCCTTTTTTTTTTTTTTTWAATTCAAATCTTGTGATAAGGACACATTTGTGACTTTGCAATACAGTCTTTGAGACAGAACTCTATTCATGGGAAATACATGCTTAGACCAGAGGACTTAGAGCTGGGATTCCAGTGGACTGGTTTTGGCTCTCTAAAATATTTGKAATGTGGTATTACTGAATGATTTGTATTTTGGCTTTCTAAAGGTACCAAATACATCCAGCTTCCAATGAGTTTTCTTGAAATTTGTCCTAATGAGTTTCTGCCCTTCGTTAGTGCATGAAGTYGTTGTAATAGTCATGAGTTAATGAGGCCTGTGTGAAATGTATAAATCAATATAATCTTTCACACAGTCATTTCCATGCAGATGTTTACACAAAATACAGTTTTTATMAAAAAAAAATTGTTTCACCATTAAATTTCAAATAGTGAAATGATTGTTCTATTTGTTGTGTTCGGGTTGTAGAATTCAGTTGTTCAGGTCAGCAAAAAGCTAACCCAGTCCTTCACCAGTTCAAAGACAAATTGTATTAATATAAAATAAAATATTCTCAAACACTTTTATGTGCAGTAAAATCCCAAACAACTGATGAGAAAGAGATGAGAAAAAAATAAAGCTGTAAGACCATTCAACATAATGTATTGTTTGAGAAGMAAGTTCAGATCTGCTAAAATTGTTAGTATGAATGATGCCTCTGAGGGTCTTGAATCTCTGCAAAAGCTGTTTAATCAGCAGAAGTGGAAGAAGTGTAGATGGAGAAACTTGAGTTGCAGGTGCCACATGAAAAGCCAGTCGGAGTCAAGAACAGAACACTGATCCCCCAGTCCTTTTCTGGCCACACTGTGGGCCTTAATGTTTTTGTGCTCCTTCCCTTCTGAAAAGGAGTTCATAGTTTTATGTTGCTTTCAGGCTTACAAGATTTACTCATTTTTAATCTTCTTGTTTTAAGGTGTCAAGAGGCAGTTAAAATGATTTTTTTTCAAAGTTTATACTTGAAGCCTAATGTAATCGAAGACAAACTACTGTAGTAATGAGAACAACTTCGTTTTGTCTTTTTTCTTTTTGAAGTGGTTGCTTCTTGTTTTTTTTCTTGCTTTCCCTTGAACTATCTACTGATCATGGAAATTTTTTCAATAAATTATCAGGGAATGTTGTTATAGTAATCAGAGGCGAGGTTCCCAGATGAGTATCTATCTATCTGTCTGTCTATCTGTCTGTCTATCTATCTATCTATATATCTATATATCTATCTATCTATCTATCTATCTATCTATCTATCTATCTATCTATCTATCTATCTATCTATCTATCTATCTGTCTTTCTGTCTATCTGTCTGCCTGTCTATTTATTTATCTGTCTGTCTGCCTGTCTGCCTGTCTGTATTTATCTATCTGTCTGTCTGTCTATCTATCTATCTATCTATCTATCTATCTATCTATCTATCTATCTATCCATATCTACATCTCTGTATATCTCTACATATCTCTCTCACTGAAAGGCAGTGAGGCTAGGAAGGGAAAAAAATGGTAGCACGGATTAAAAAAACTTTATTGAGTAATATGTTAAAGTGTTACTGCATCCAAGTTGGAATGCTGTCAAATTCTGTGTTTATGTACAGGAACTTGACAAGAGGAGTTGGTAGATTTAGAGAGTTGCTAAGAGCTGTCGAAACAAGAACTACACAAAACCTGCGAATGGTAAGTTATATGAAACCACTTTGCTATTGCAGCATCTGAATTTCAGTAGGGAGGGAAAGCATAAATGTAGTGGATGAGTTAGAGACAAATAGTCAGATGTGTAGCATATTGATAAAAACCTTTTATCCAACGTTTTATAAGGTTACAGTTCCTGGCTTAAGTGACTGATTAAAGTAAGGAATGTTTCATAACCAGTCTCCCATTTTTTTTCTAATTATGGTTAATCAAAAYCTGACTGGTCTCTGATTGACCATACTTTCAACCTTAATTATAATTTGCCCCTATTTATGAGTCAATGTATTTTYATGGTTTTGTAAGGCAGTGGGAGTGAGAACAGAGTGCAGCATTTTTGAGTGGTTTCTATTAAGTTGAGGGCKATTAAATTATAAAGCCTCTTAAAGGAAAACCATAAAAAGCAAAATCATGAAGATTTGTTTTTTTCTATTGTCAGAAACTTGAATCTTTAATATAATAAAAAGTAGAGGCTTTTATCTTTTACTGTCATGTACTGATTTTCAAAATATCCTAGATTAGTTTCCTAATACTGGTCCATTAAAACTTTCAAATGGGTAATATGGAAGGTAAATGATTTCTTCATGCATTCAATAACTGATTCYTAGTAACTATATGAAAATAATTTAATAATAGACTTTCAATGGAGAGGGATAATACTGCAAATGTKAACAAAAAAAGATGAAGGGCTTCTGATGGTATAGGAGTAAGGTGGAAGATGCAGATTGTATGGTGCTGTCAGTGATCTAAAGATTACACATCTGTTTTTGGGAAATGTTACTGGGAAATGCTGCCAATTCTGATGCAAATTTAGATCTTGCCTTCTTTCTACTACCCTGGTAGAAAATCTTTGAGATATATATCACTGTGATATATAGTTGTGCAGGTTCTATGCATGCGTGTGAAACATTAAAGAGGATATTAACCTGATAGTTAAGGACTATAGGTTGACTTAAWAACTTTAAATTAGTATTATTTAATTAAATAATATTTATGTACGTATTTCTATTGGTAAAAATATGGTGACAATAATAGTTGGTCAAAATAAAATTTTCATGTGATTTTCAACCTTGTTTCACTCTTGATGGGCTTTCACAACAGTAGCAAACACCAGCACCTTCAAGCGTAAGTTGTCACACGGCCCCCTTCAGCCCACAGACCATAATTGTCTGTGGTGGGTTGACTTTGTCTTGCTGCCAGATGCCCACCCRGCTGCCCTCACACTCCTTAACACAGGGGGAGAAATTAGCTAGAAAAGGTTTGAGATAATGGGAGTTTGCTTACCAGTTACTGTCACAGGCAATTTCCTTCTTRGAAGAAATTAACTTAATTTATTGTCAATTAAAAGACAGTGGGATAGTGAGAAACAAAGACAAGAAACTAAAACCCCTCCCCACCTTTTCCATTTTCTCAAGTTCTGCTTCAGTCTTTGATTTCTGACTCTTCTCTCTCCTCTCCCTACCCTGCCATCCCCTGTGTGGTGCATGAGAGGTGGAGGGTTGTGGTGAGTTCCTCTCTGCTGTGCCTTACTCCTCACACTTTTCCTCTGCTTCTGCATGGGGTCCCTGGAATATCACCCTGTTTCATCATACTTAGCTGCAGTGAGGACAACTCCACTGTGGTCTCTGCCACACAATCATCTGCTCCAGGTCTAAAGAGGCAGCAGAGATTTTTGGGCACCTTAGGTTACTGATAATCTTGGGAGCAGYAGTTGGGTTGTTTGTACTTCATTGATATCTGGATTTAACTGATAAAATTTAAAAATTGTTTGTTATTGCCGTGATTTTTCTTTGTGCTTAGAGAATTTAATTGGGTACTTTGACATATTAAACAGCATCATGCCTGGTGTTTTGGATGTTGTAGAATAGCAAAAAATATTGTGTATAAGTAGTCTTTATTAGGAAAGATCTSAGCATTTTTTAAGAGTTTGTATTCAGCATTTCTAGGGAAAATCTTTATCTTTTGCTTTTACAGACAATAGCAAGACAACTTGCAGAAATTTTGTTACGAGGTATGTGTGAACAGAGTTACTGGAATCCACTGGAAGATCCTCCTCACCAGTCACCCCTTGATGATCCACTTCGAAAAGGTTCAAATACTAAGAATTATGCGCTCAGTAGAAGACCACGGGTATACACTGGAGAGAAGTATGGCTGAGTTTATACCTCCTTTGTTTCTATAATTGCACTTGTTACTCAATGCACTGGGTAATTTCGTTTATATTTTTGAAAATGTAGAGTAATTTGGCAGTGTGAATGGGAATGTTACCTATGCTATGTAAGTAGATAGATTCCCTTAAGAGAGTTAGGAAAGAAACATGCTTCTCCAAGCACAAGTTTGCACTGTATACATTAGACCTTTTGTTCTTAGTTGTAGAAGTTTTTTTTTCCCTATCCTGGTGTATGTGATAGTATCTCTTATTATACGTGAGATATAAATGAAAACATGAACTGGATGGCAAATCAGATATTGCACATATTTAAAATTGTGTGCTGCTTCTAGAGATTTATTCTGCTTTATCATGGGAAGGGGAGATTCAACAATATGAGATTCAAGTTAGTCGAGGAAGAATTATGAAAAAACAAGACATCTAGAAATTTATCTGGCGGTTTCAAAGGTAGTTTATTTCCCAAGGCTAATCATCTTGGCTAATCATCACCTTTTAGTTAATCATCTTAGATTAGTTTTGGCACTTCTTTATGAGGACTCCTTTTTGTTCAGTTTTAATCTTTTATTGACATGTAAGTGATACTTTTTGGGTTGCTTTTCTGTGGTATATATCTCATGGTGAATTCTAGAGTAGCTATGGTGTTTCTTCCTTCTTGAAAATGTAACTTTTTTTTCCAAAATCAATCACCATTAGGATTAGTATTAAATATAGCCATTTCCTTGTATGTGAAATTTTTTTAGAAGTTGATAGCTCTGATCCCTAGACACCCCTTTTAACCTTAACTATTGTGTTATTTTGTGAAATCAGTATGACCTGGGAATATCTTTTGAGGATACATTATCTGTTCCACAGGACATTTTTGACCTTTTCTTTGAMGAATTTATTATTATTATTGTTTTTTATTTATATTGTTGTCCAGGTGGATCAAAAGCTAGGTGTTGTGAGTTTGTAATTTCAATCTAGTCTGACTRCCTTTGGGATGTGAAGTCATTAACAGCAGTCTGTTGAGCTTTAGGAAAAGATGCAGGCATGGAGTTGAACAATCAATTTGCCAAAACAACTGTTTCCCTGCATTTAATAAACTGTACATGCAGGCAGCTTGTCTTGTAAAAAAGCAAATAGCTATTTTTTGTGAATATACCTTGATCACCGCTCTTAAAAAGTAGGCATTTATTGCCCAGACATGAGGAAATCTCTTTTATGCAGCCTTAAATACTTTTACTCTAACCACTTGATATTGCACAGCAAATCCAAAGAACAGTCTGTTCCTCTTTTACAGTATATATGCCTTGTTAGTTAACATGAAAGCTTTTTTCCATAAAGTGACCCTGTTATGTGCAGAAGAATGCTGCTGTGGCACATTGGTTATAGAAGCAGCCCTGCTTACATAATTGRGGGATGTTCCTTTAAGTGTTCACAGTATCTTTACATAGGAACATGCCTGCAATATGGCACCTTTTTGAGTTGTTTAGCTGTTTTTATTTATTTTATTTATTTTACTTTATTTATTGCAGTTTTCCATTAATAAATATTTTACACAGCAGCAGGCCCACATAATTATGTTGCCTTTGCTATCATTAAGAGAATGACCTTTATCTTCAAAAACTTCTAGCAATTCTCCTTCCTGGATCCAGAATGGTTACAGCAGGTTTCTCAGGCGCAGTCTTTCGAACTTATGTTCTTCATTCTCAACCCACCCTTCATAGCAACACACTTCCTGCAAAAGTGGGGTTTTGTTCAGTTTTCTCTCATTCTTGGGGTGTGCAGATGAGGAGTTCCACAATTTCAACACAGCACATAATTAGGTCCTTTCATCACATCAGACTGGTTGATACCATACCACATTAAATACGTGTAGCCGAATATCTCCAGCAGTGATTGARAGCAAGAATCAAAGACGATGAATAGCAAGATTGGTATCTAGGAAACTTCTTCCTAGGTATTCTTCTGAGTCTGCAATGCACTGTTTTTTCCTAAATATGTTGCCTGACACATTAAATAACTGCATTGTGTTCTTTTCAGGATTATGGATGTGATTTGACTGATACAATTTATGATTTTGTAGATCTCTGTTAGTTTTTGTAGATCTCTCTTCAGTTTCCTTTAAATGGTTCTTCAGCTGAGTACAACTTTCATGGTTTGCCTTTGTTTGATGGCCATTTCATGCTTTCAGTTGCCTCTTGCTCTGCCCTGTTGCATTGAAATCACTCTAGTCATGTGCCTATGTCTCCTCCTATCAGGAGACACAGAAAATATCTGAGTTCAGTCAATTTAACTGAGCTTTTTGCTTAGGTCAAAAATTAATTCCTTACTAATTTCTTCACGGAGAGGATCTTCACTGTTTGAGATAAACATCAACATATTTACAAAAATATGTTTGAAATTGCAGGAGAAAATGTTTCCTTTGGTTTTGATAAGTGGCTGTTTACTAGTTCTCCTTGGGGCAACTTCCTGTCTTTCTCTGAGAAAATAATTTCTCCAGGAGCTCTTTCCTATCATTATTCTGCTTTCTGGGTGCCATTGTCAATCGGTCAGGTTAAATCTTCTTCCAGGTTGTTCAATTCTGCATAGAAGAATGGATTGTTAAATAAGSAGCACTCTGATGCTTGCTCATCACTCCTCATTCCTTTTCGTGGGTGGTTCTTATTCATGACTAACTGTGTTTTGAAATTGCTTTGTTATGTAATAATATAAATGTATTCTAAGATTTAGAATACTTTYAAAAATCTGGTGACCAGTTGTATTGATTAAAAAACAGAAGTACAACAACAGAACAGCTGCCCTGGGGTCTTAGCTGTTGTATATGACCACAATATGTTCAGAATGTTGCTTTCAAACTGCCTGGAGCTCACATGTCTTTTAGTTCAATTTTCTTTCAGGCATTTAATTACTGTTTATGTTTCCAGTGCTTTAAAAAAACCCCAGAAGATGTTTTAATGTCAGACAAGTTTCRTTTCCTGTCTATAATGTGTTGTAGTTTAAACACCCTTGGGAACCATAGGAATTGATTATTAACAATAGCAAATTATTTTTTACATTTAAATAGTTAATTGTAGAACTAATGGTCTGAATTAACAGGAAGGAGTACTTTTGCTAATTCAGAAATAGTTTAGAAGAAGAAATCTGAGGAGATAAAACATAGTCACTGATTTGGGAAATTTTTTTGTATGTATGAGAACGGATGAATTTCTGCCAGTCATGTAACCAATGCAGATTACTGTTGTCTGTGCACCAGCACAGAACAGTATTCAGAAAGCATCCAGAGAAAGCAGTAAAATTTGGAAACTAGTCCTATGCAAACCTTCAGCACTAAGTTATAAGGAAGTGTTCTTCATTACAAACAAGTAATTCTACTGCTTGGAAGCAAGAGTGGTTATGGCAAGCGGGTGGAGATTGTCATGGCTCTATTTAGAAATATTCACAGCTATTGAATGCATCAGGAAAAAAATCTCAAGCATATCTCATGAAAGACTGATAAAAGTATCTCTCCACATATTGCAAAAAATACAGAAGTTCTTCTGTTCTTGTGTGAGACTTTCCTCTTGTCAGCCTTTGAATCAGTGGTGTAGGTTGAGCTCAGACAGATGAGGTATCAGAGACTAGTTAAACTATGGGTTTAGTTTTTACAGTTGTCAAATTATGATCAGTTTTGGGATATTTGAATGAGTTCAACTCTGACAGCTGTGGTAGTTTTGTTCTTTTATTGTGATCAAAGCCAATTTTTCTGAAATGTCAATTTAGAGCATTGCAAAGAATTAAATTTTAGCTAATTGATTTTTCTATGCAACTTACTTTGTTTCCTTTTCTGGAAATTTTCCAGTTTTTACAGTGCTTTTAATATATGTGTGTGAGCTACTCATAAAAGTAATGTGTTCTGCTTCAATAATGAAATTCTCATTTTGAACAGCATCTTCTGTCCTCAAGAAAATACAGAAGAAGCCTTACTGTTGCTGCTTATTAGTGAATCCATGGTAGGTAAAATAAAGTGAAYGTGCATGTTCTGTATGTGTGTGTGTTTTCCTTGTTTCAGGTTTTTTTAAATTAAAATAGAACTTTCTTTCCTATGCCTTACTTTGCCAGAAAATGTCATTCTGCTTCCCTAGCAGAAAATGACAGTGTGAAACTCAAGTTTTTGTTCCTCTGAGCCAGCAAGATGAGGTCTGCAAATGTTGTGTTTTTCTCCTTTGGATTGGCTTTACCCAGCCTCCTTCCAGCCATAGGCAGGTGAACAAGCCAGGTCCTTCATTTGGCATCACTTACCAGTACAAAGCTCTGTTACACCAGTTGGTTGCTATTTGGACAGACACAAAATCTAAGTTATTTTTTGTTGTAAAAAGCAAATCAAAAAGTACTAGATGAGCATAATAAACATTGCCAAAAAGTACCTTGCACTGTGCATTAAACTTCAGTCACTCAAATTTGTGGTTTTTGATGATCCTGACATTCAGTCTTTGCTACAGGATTATTTTTTTAAATATCCCCATTTCCTCAGTAAATTATTCTTTTCAGTGTTCTACTTGTGCTCTTCATCAACCTTCCGTATTTTCCGCTAGTCATTGATCAACTGCYACATACTTACATTCTCGTACCATGTCTATTTTATGTTCTCAGATGAAATGCTGGAGCTTTTGCTGTTTTTTTAGCTGGCGAGATAAAACCTCTACAGTYTCAGGCATCATGCAGTCTTTCTCAYTGCACATCAATGAGATGTAGTCTTTTAAATTTAATAGGTGATTCAAATACTTACATGTTTCGCCATAATTTCTGTTTTGCTGCAGTTAAATAGGATCAGAACATTTTAGTGAATGTTGTCCCAGTTTAACTCTTTTAAAGTGGCAGATATTTACACTCTAGAGCTAACTGCTTTCCTCATAGTTATCTGCTTTGCAATATTCATGACAGAATCTAGAATTTCTGTCTGGATTCTAATTCTCAGAATACAGAAAAGCTGACTGAGCAAACATTTYCACATGTCATATGTTGGTTTTGCTGCTGTATATACTTACCACTGAGARGTGCTGCCTGTGCCTCTGTAATATATCTGAGCAGCAGTGAAGATGTACAGAATTCTGATGTGAACTGTGGTCTTGGTGTGAAGTGAAAGCAGTCTCAGTTCTGCCAGATCTGACTACTGGTAGCTGTGTTTGCATGTGCAATTCCTCACATATCATCATTAAGAAGCCAAAAACCAAATTAAAAGTAGTGCCTTGTTAAGTGTCATTTCAGGTTACTTGCAGATTTCCTTTGTGAATTAGATCTGCCTAATTATATCAAATGCTGTCACTGTAGAGCATAGACCTTTAGCAAGCTTTCAGTTTCTTTCTTTTACAGTAATTATTGCAGATTATTTCAGGCAAAGGAGTTTGTTTCGGGGGAGTAYAAAAATCTTTGACATGATTGACTTACTTTGGCTAAATCATTTGTTCAAATTACTTGGAGAGGGGAAAGGGGAGGATTGAGCATAAAAATATTCATAATTACAAACTTATCTTTCTTAGAGTTGAGACTTATTATTTCAGCTTCACTGCATGCTAACTTTTGAGCTGTAGTAGTTGGAAGTAGCATATGATTTATGATTTTGAAAACAGTATTTGGGAAAGAAATAAGAAGACTTGCAGAAGACTGAACACTGTCTTGGTGTTTTGATATGCTATTGTATTATTAAAGTATTATGATCCCTTACTTTCATTGTCTGTGAATTAGTATGAGCAAGCCCCATTCAAGGCCAGGTTGGACAGGGCTCTGAGCAATCTGGTGTGGTGGAAAGTGTCCCTTCCCATGGCAGGATGATCTTTAAAAGGTCCCTTCCAACCCAAACCATCCTGTGGTTCTRTGATCTGACATCTTCGTGTTACAGTCCGTGTAACTGCATGTCAGCTGAGTTGTGGTAATGGAATCACAGAATCATTATGGTTGGAAGGGATTTCTGGAGGTTGTTTTGTCCAGCCCCCCTGCTCAGACCAGGGCCATGTTTCTGTCACCTTAGAGCATCTGAACAGGCCAAATCTCTGTCCAGATGTCTTTTGAGTATCTCCAAGGAGAGGGACTCCATAGCTTCCCTGGCATATCAAAGGCATATCATGTTCAGCAAACATGCTTGGGGTACAACCAGTTCACAAACATGATCAGGCCCAGTATCAGACTCTGGGATACACTGCTGGGTGCTGACCTCCAGCTAGACTTCGTGTGATTGATCACCAGCTCCTGGACTCAGCTTTATGTGTGATTCTTAACCAGGGGTAAAATGGCTGAGCCKATCCTTCCTTCCACTGAGGCTGCACTGAGTTACGCTGCTCAGGTGTGTTACAGGCTTCAGGTGTGTGTGGTAAGTGTGGCCAGATGGCACACTGCAGTCAACTGTCACCTTAGAGCATCTGAGAGCATGACAGTTCTGAAATTTGAGCGTTGAAGTTCCTAAATACATTCTGTTTTATAATTATTAAGAAACTGATTGTTCAAATACACTAGATATCTGTAATATTATAAGACATCCTCTCACTTTGGCATTGTCAACCATTTTTTCACAAAAAGTGCTAGTTCAAAACTTGCAAGGAGTTGAGTCAAATAGTGACTAAAGGTAGAGTTAAAAAGAAGTTYTTGAAATTGTCTAAATATTTATGCAGTGTAAGAAGGAAAAACCAAAGACTTCTTGGTCAAAAGAAAGCAAAATGTCTGTGTTTGGAGTGTGTGTGTGAATGTGTGTGAGGTTGTTTCAAACCGAGGTGTGGATTATTCAGTTGATAATTCCTGAGATGTCTGTGCATTTTACGCTTCATGTATCTCTTTGAAAAACTTTAAATATTTAATTATTCTGATTTTAAAGATGTGTTAAGTATGTTCAGAGCTTAAAATGTTACCCTGTTAAACAGAGAAAAAAAATCTTATTCCTTATTGTCCTTGTGTCTGAAAGAGAGGAAAATAAGCTGCCTATTAAAATTTAGTGGATTTAAATAAAYGAACTAAAGGGGGTCATACCCTGTGAAATTAAAAATAAAAGGGGATGAGGAGAGAGGAGTATCTTTAACTTCTGACTTCAGACTACCAGATATACTAGCATTTGTACCAATGGGAATATTAAACACCAAGAAAAATAGAAATAGATAGGACAGCAAGATAATGTGTTTTCAGAGGCTTGATGGTATAGTGGGAGAAGTACTGGGTAGTTCAGTGTAGGTACTAGCTACTCTGAGATCTGAATTTAGTTTTWTGCTCTTGAACATGATTTCTCTGTGAATATGGTCAATTAATTTAAGCTATTTCTAGCTCAGCTTTCTTCCTTTCCAAAAGGAACACTTGAAGAATTATGTTTGCAATGTGCCTTTCACAAAACAGGCTTGAGAGTACAAATCCATACTGCTCACACGACCTGATTCCAAAGCTGTGCCCAGAACCAGGATCAGTTTTCACCTCTCTGTAGTAACTCCTGAAGGTGATTGAGGTTTACCCTGGGCATGTTACCATTCACAAGGGAGATGATAGTATCATAGTATTATGAAGAGAAAAGAAGTTCATTGCCTTATTTTACAAAAGCTGGAATAGAGGATTTGAAGATCCCTTTAATATGTTTTACTAGCATATAATAAAATAGAGATTTTAGAAGATGAATATACATGATATTAAAATATACCATCTTTTCTTTCTGAGAACTCTTCAATAATTTAAAATACATTACTTGGCTTATGGAATTAGAATGAAGTCATTGAAAATAGGTCCATGTAGAAGCATCAGTCTTACCACTAATATATAAAATTAGTGATTCTTTTTATCTGTAAATTAGTATCAGATACTACCTCTGTATCACTTCTAGCAACTGCTGACTGTGAGGTTGAATAGAATGTAGTTACTTGAGTGAAGATATAGCTTGAATTACAGTGGCTGACTTGGTTTCTTTCTTTGTGGTGTGTTCCAGGCTAACCGTGATGCTGTATTGAGCAGAATACCAGAACACAAGAATGATCGTATCATCAGTTTGCAAAGTGCATCTGTTGTCTACGATTTACTTACCATAGCCTTGGGAAGAAGAGGCCAATATGAAATGCTTTCAGAGGTTTGTTGATAGGAGTGACCATTCATCTGTGTCATTATTGCTGTTTTCTGTTGATCTTGTTAATTGTGATAGTTATAAAGGGCTAAAACAAATATAGGACACTGTTATTCTGACTGCTTTATAAATACAGGAGGTAGTTTCTACCCCAAAATGTTTACTGTCTAAATTTATTTGAGTGACTTGAGGTGGTCAAACAAAGAAGGTATGATAAATATCTGGAAAGCAGAAGAGACTCCATGTTTGACCAGCTGCTTAGTTGAGGGTTTTTAGTCAAGGTCTTAGGCTTGTTTTAAAGTCTTTTATTCTTGTTGTTTTGTTTTGTAGGTTTTTTTTTTTTTTTTTAATCTATCATCTTTTAGTCTAGCATCTTTGTAGTAATATTCCAACAAAATTGTATGTATTTGGAAATGTTCTTTTTGAGAAAGAGACTGACTTTCAGTGCAGAATAATTAAAATGTATTTGTTATATGTACATGAAGTATCTTTCCTGAATATGAAAAAAATAATCGTATGAAGACCTGGTATAAYAGACAATACTTATTTTAGCATACAGATATTTTAGATATACAGCTGCAGCAGGATCTTGTCAGAAAATGATTAGAACATCTCACTCCCTCTTATCCTTGTCATCCAAAGTGGAGAACACAGATTTTAAGAAGCTCTTACAGTTTAACAGGTAGAAGATACCTGCCCTCAAATCCTTCTGCCAACAGTCTGTAACTTTTGTAACTTGAACTATTATAATAAACACAAATTCAAAAATGTTAAAACATTCTGTTCAGTTATATAATAGACATTTAATTTTTTAGGGCTTCATTCTCTTTGAGCTGATTTTGATTGTTCTTGTGGAGCTGTTGTAGATTCAAGTCAGAAATTGGGAAATTATTCTAACTGTGGAAACAGTATTCACCCACCAGTTCCAAGTTCTTATTACTGCCTTCTGGTTTAGCTATAGCTGATTACTTACAGAAGTAGTTGGTTCTTATATAAGAAAATTAAATAATCAAAAACCTGTCTCATCCTTGTTAAACTGTTCTAATGCCAAGTCACGTTCTTAACTGAAAAGATCTTCTGTTTTAATCAAGTTTGTATATAATGGGCTTTCAAATTCTTAGGGTGGCTTCAACTAGATGGAAGAACTTTATACTGTCAGTTCTTTCCTAAACAAAAGTACTCTGGTTGAAATCAACTTGGTTTTTAAGTTTTGTAGGATATAATACATTGAACTTAGATGTGTTCCACTAGAGGAGATGTTTTCCAGACGAGAAATTTTCCTACATTTTCATAATTTCATCTTTCAGCTCTCTATCTTCAAGCATGTACTTTTCAGGAGATCATAGTGCTAAACAACCAAATTCAGTAATGTGTTCAACATAGACTGTTCATGTAGTGATTTCAATACCAACAGTTGTTTTTTCCTTAGGAAATGAATTGTGCTGAATGTGTGTTCAAGTAGTTAAATTAATTGCCATTATCCCGAGAATTATCATAACTAGCAGTCCGCCTGGTGACTATTGCTTGCTGTGTATTTCTTGTTGGAGCCTGTTGGTCTGTGAAATTCCCTGTTTCTTTGTTCAGAAGAATCCAGTTTAGGAGGTGTTCGTGTTGTTGCATAGGCCACAAACACATCATCCATTCATCCCTTGCCCCCACATACCCTAATGGCCAGTTTTGTCATCTTACRAAGAAAATATTGAGTTTGAAGTTAAATTTTTTTAAAATAGAAATAATAYTTCAAGGTGAATCTTTACATGCTCCATGCTTACATAACCTCCTTTTCAGTGGTACTTGTAAGAGCTTGTAGTGCCAGTGCTTAATAAGTATTCACAGCTTAGGAAGAGAGTGTGTACAGCTTTCCATTTCACTTAAGACTTATCTCCTACTTTTTACAGATGATATCCTCAGTAAGCTGATATCTATAATTCCTTCTTTCACTATATAGTACAGTACTAAGAGGTGCACTTAAACAAACATAGTAAACAGGAAATCAAGCTTCTGTTAAATTCTCTTTTTTTTTATATGGAACCTGGCAGCTGTTTTCATATGTTTGAATAATTTAAATTTTTTATTACATGCATGTTAGATATKAGTCTATAAGAAAATCTTTATACCAAAATATCTTCTTAATAATTGAAGAATATGCCCTTAAATAATAATTTTCCCTCCTTAATTAGTGTTTAGAAAGAGCCATGAAGTTTGCATTTGAAGAATTCCATCTCTGGTACCAGTTTGCATTGTCCTTGATGGCAGCAGGAAAAGTAAGTCTAAACTTTTTTGTGTAATTCTTGTATTGATGGCATTTAATAACTATATTAAGCAATTCCATAATGCTCATCTGTAGTGTTTTTGAAAATAATTCTAATCCATAAGTGAACTAGATAGGCCTGAATTTATTCCCAGTGTTGTACCAAGAATATTGTTATTAGAACAGTTTCTGACTTAGGTAATGATATCAACTATCTTGCCAATAATCTTAAAATAAGCTGATTGAATGCAAGTAGTGAATTATACCAGATCCTATTGTCCTGTAAAACTTGTTTAAGTRTGCTCTTGATGACTTGATTTATTTTGTACTTAGGTACAAATTAATGCTGATTCGTGATGCTCTTGCTTTTCTTTCCTTTGGAAATTTCTGATTTTTATCTTCTTTAGTATTGCTGTCTTTGAGACTCTGTATTCTGTGCAAATGATGAATTTAAAAAAAAAAATTATATGACCTAGGAACTTAAGTGCATTTAACTTAAGTTAATAATTGCCCCATTAAGTTTTTGGAGGCAATTCTCTGTTATCASTTCTTTTTGCTTTTCCCTGTCATGTTACAGAAAATAAATGAAAGTCATTAAGTAATATAAATGACTGATTTTCTAAAATATCATTCTCAATGCGGATATTTTGCCTATTTTTAGGATGGGGGAGAGGAATGTATTTTTCTTAGAAAAGATTTTAGCAGCATATTGGTTCTGAAGGGACTTGGATCTTCTTCAAGCCCTATTTACTTTGAATTATCTTCCAAACTGTGATTGGATGGAAGCAAATAAGTCAAAGTGGGGCACGGCTATTCTGTCTTATATCAGACCTATTCCTGTGTGCTATTTCAACTCCCAAAGAACACCAAAACCCTGCTTTTTCAGAAAGCTCTGTCCTGTTCTTTCTCTTTTRTTTGCCTGGCTCAAATGCTGTGTGTTTACAGGCCTAGCTAAGTTTTAAATGCAGTGCAAAACTTTTTTTTCTGAATTGTGTACCATTGGAATTACATTCTTAGCAAGTATTTCTCTGGGGATGCTTAATGGTAGTTCATAGGAGTTARATAGCAACAGGAGTGCCTAAAGTCTATGTTGTAATGCCTCCTTCRCATGGGAAAAATAAAAATAAATAATGGAAATAGGACTCTTCTATCTGTGAAATGTATTTATGCTTTTGGTAATTTAAATGGAAAATATTTTAAACAGTCTGCTCGAGCTGTTAAAGTCTTGAAGGAATGTATACGTTTGAAACCAGATGATGCAACTATTCCACTCCTTGCTGCAAAGCTCTGTATGGGATCTCTGCACTGGGTAAGCTTTGCCCTTCTGTCTTCTCAGCAAGAGCCGTGCTAAAATCTTGATTTAGGGATGTAGCAAATATTTTTGCACAATGACTGCATGCACRTGTCTAAAAACACAGCACAGATATGTATACGCTGTTTGAATGGCTGATTTTAAATACTTGACAGTGATTATGGTTATCAAGGTAGCATATTTTGATACAGCTCTGTCATAGCTTGGAACGTATGGAAATTGAAACACTGTTGAAATACATGTTACAAATGTAACTTCTGTTTCCTTTCCACAAGAGGAAAATTACTTTTTGGAAGATAATGAGACAAATCTCTTATAATCAAAAGACTCTTCTGGTGATACCATGTTTGCAGGCAACTGTGGTTTATGAATTTGTATTAGGKACAGTTGAGTTATATTTTACATAAATTTGAAATCAGTATATCTGTACAAAAAACATTAAAGCTATTAAAGATCATCATGTTGTCTTCAAGATACTTGTGTATTTTTTAGAAGAATGAGTATGTTTCAAAAAGAAGGAAAAGAGAAGGAAAAGGTCACAATCAGAAACAGAGAAAGTGGTGTAGTAGCAGAAACRTGACTTGTTGAGGTTGATAAAAATACAACCTTAATTAAGGTAGATCATAGTTCTGTAAATTGTTCCCTATGGATTGAGTCTGTATGGAGTAGCTTAATGTACTTAGCATTTACATTTACTGGAATGGATTCAAATGGGCTTTTTTCTTTCTAGACTATTAAATAGTGTGCTAGTATGGGTGTGCAGTTAAACCTTGATTTTTTACATGTTTTTCTGTTTATGATTTTGCATGCCTTCAGCAATACGATATTCGAAGCAGAGTTCTGCATGGATATAGTTTTTTTACAGAGTTGGAGTCATAGTTCTTGTGATTGATTTTCCTAAATAAATGGTTCATTGGTCAAGAAATCTAATTTATAAAATGTAAAAATGTTATATGGCATATATGGACCAGAAATACCTGTTTTATTAAAAATAATAAAAAAAAGACAATAACACAGTATGTGTGTTATGTGCCAGATTTCTCTCAACCATAGGAATGGGTGTTTCAGCTTAAAATCTGTGTTCTTTACTCAGTATTTAGCAAGAAAACTATGTCTAATGAAAAATGTAATAGTCCTTCAAAGCAGTTGTGGCTGAGATTTTAACAGGTTTGGTGTGCATAATACACATTCTGAGCATTCTTATCATTATATTGTAAGATTTATCTAGTTTTTAGACTTACATGAATATTTTATATTTTCAGTTGGAAGAAGCTGAAAGATTTGCCAAAACAGTTGTTGATCTTGGGGACAAAACATCTGAGTTCAAAGCAAAAGGCTACTTGGCACTGGGATTGACTTACAGTCTTCAGGCTACTGATGGTAAGATAAGAATAAACATTCGCATTTGGAAATTCCCATGCTGCCTAAAAAAGGATACGTGGCAGAATGGTAGGCATAAGATTAAAGCTTCTGTGTGCAACCATTTTTTCAGTCAATGTACTAAAACTTCTTCAATTAGCGTGTGGAATGAAATCTCTTCATCGTTCATATCACTGATTAAATATATCCTTTTTAGCATCTTTGCGAGGGATGCAAGAGGTCTTGCAGAGAAAGGCTCTTCTTGCATTTCAGAGGTGAGTGGGTGTTGATCTTTTCATTTCGTTCTGCTATATGTAGTGCAAAGCTTTTGTATGTGCTAAAAAGAGCGACTTGTAAAAGATTGTGTAATGACAACTTCACCTCTGGGAGTCTCCTATCATGAGAGCAGAATGTATTTCTTTAGCATCTATTTCCATCATTTTCTGTCACCATTACCTAAATTGATTTTTTAGGATTTCCCTTTATTTCAAGACATTTGTGTTGCTCTCTAGTATAAAATATTTGCTCAAATATTCTGATCTAGAAGGAAAAACCACAYGATGTAAAGCTTCAAGTCATGGTTCAATGTGAGTGTTTCTAAGGCTGGTCACTGATCAGATTGTATAGGAGGATTTTTCAATTGTCTCTCCAGAAGCAGAGCAGTAATTGAGGCCCTACTGCTGGGGCTGAATTCTGCATGTTAACTTTTTGGAGGCTAACTTTGGATAAAGCCCCATCCAGCCTGGCCTTGAACACTGGGGATGGGGCATCCACAATTTCTCTGGACATATTCCAGGGCCTCACCACCCTCATAGCAAAGCAATYCTTTGTAATATCTAATCTAAACCTTCTCTCTTTCAGTTTCAAGACACTACCCCTTTTCCTGTCCATACATGCCCTTGTAAAAAACTCCTCTCCAGCTCTCCTGTAGGACCCCTTCAGGTACTGGAAGGTGCTGTAACATCTTCCTGAGCTTTCTGTTCTCCAGGCTGAGCAATCCCAACTCTCTCAGCATGTCCCTAAAGAGAGGTGCTTCAGCCTTCTGGTAATTTYTGTGGCCTTCAACAGGTCCACATCCTCCCTATGTTGGGGACCCCAGACCTGGACGCAGCCCTCCAGATGGGTTCTCTTGAGGGTGAAACAGAATGGGGCAATCACTTCCCTTGTCCTRTGGTCACACTTCTTTTGATGCAGCCCAATACTTGGTTGGCTTTCTGGGCTGTGAGAGCACATTGCCAGGTCATGTCAATATTCAGCTTTTTATCACTGTGAAACTTCCCTTTCTCAATCTCTGTTCAAATATTGTTGCTTGGTTKTGTGTTATTGTCAGTCATGCCCACTTTCTCTTACCACATCTGAAAAACAAATGTTTTCCAGAAGATGGAAGTTGAAATTCTCACAGTTTATAAAGCAAGCAGCCTGTACTGGACTCGGTATTTTAATGTGCCTTTTTAATTTCTTTTTTTTTGGTGGGTTTTTTTAATCACCTACCTAGAGAGCCAATTCCTGAAGAAATAGAGGTCCTGAAAAAATACAATTACATTTTGGACCCTTGCCTGAGTCAGATTTCAAGGGTTACCAGTTTGTGACAGTGGCCATTCAAGAAGGTGCTTATTGCTCTCTTACACAGTACTCAGGGGGTGTTTGTTTCAGTAACTTTTTAAATTTTGGAAGACTTTCAGTGTTTTTCCTGTGTTTGGTGTGAATTGAAGTTTCACAGAACTCACCAAATGGTAGATAGATAGTCACAGCTTTATTCTTTCTCTGTCTGAAGCTTGGATGACTGAAGAAGCACTCTCTAAGTYGAAATCTCCTGTTCTTGCTTATTATTGCTTAATTTTGAAACTAAATTTTAAAAAGGACTGTTAGGACCTGGACCCCGTTAGGCTTTACCTGTGACTCTAATTTCCAGTTTACAGGTGAAGTTAACAAAATATGGAACTGTGCTTTAATAACTTAAAACTGCTTTGAAGCGTGCTGGGTATAGTTGCTAAACTAATGGACCTGTACAGCTCTTTGGACTTGAGAAGACAGAAATACATGGGTCAGGAGCAGAAATATCTCTGTGGTTTTAGTGGTTTAAAGGTCAATTTTGTTCCTTTCTCCCAGCAGAAGTTACTCACTAGATGTTCCAAAGATGATTGTTTCACATCATAGTTCTAAATGAGCCTCTGTTGAAAGAATGCAAGAAATGTAAATAAAAAAATAGTTCCAGGCCTCCTGCCCATACTTACTACACATAATTTTGGGGGACAGCCATAATTTTTTTATCCTTATGCTCAAGTATCTCCGTGCTAAAAAGCTGTTTCCTTGCAGCAGAAAGACTGTATTACAGGGGGAAATAGTAGAATGTATTACAAAGACAATTTCTGTAATATAGTGATTAGGACTCAGAGTATGTATTTGACCAAAACATKAAAAAGAAGAGAACAAGCACAATCTTTTTAAAAGGTGGAAAAAAGTAATTTTTTTATTAACTAGAGTTACTTGCAACAACAGTAGTTAGAAATATTTTGAGAGTGAATAATTGAAAAAGTACTTCTGCTCTTGGGCAGCTCAATGCTTTTGTCAGTGAAAGTTCTATTTGTAAAAAGATCATCAACATAGACTTCTTCATCTGAACTTCAAACGTAGGYTCATGATGAGTCAGATCTTATACAGCCTTTTACTGTAATGCTGTGATAAATAAGCTGTGCAGTRTAGATTCCTTTTACACTGCAACATAACAAGTAAATCCAACTGGAGCTGGTCACAAGTGGTGTTCCCCACTCAATATTGGGACCAGTCTTCYTTAATATCTTTATCAATGATCTGGACAAGGGCATCAAGAGTACCCTCTGTCCTTTCACACAACTTTAGGTTGGGTGGGAGGATAGGAAGGCCCTGCAGAGAGATCTGGACTGGCTGGATCCATGGGTGAAGGTCATGGACCAGTTGTATGAGGTTCAACAATGCCTAGTACTGGGCCCTGCACAGGGATCACAACAACCCCACAGCACTACAAGCTGGGAGCTGGAAAGCTGTCTGATGGAAAAGGACCTGGGAGTGCTGGTCAACAGCAGCATGAGCCAGCTGTGCCCAAGTGGCCAAGAAGGCCAATGGCATCCTGGTCTGCATCAGCARCAGTGTGGCCAGCAGGACCAGGGCAGGCACTGTCCCTCTRCTCAGCACTGGTGAGGCCTCAGCTTGAATCCTGGRTTCAGTTCTGGGTCACTCAGGATAAGAAAGACTTTGAGGGGCTGGAGCATGTCCAGAAAAGGGCAATTGAGCTGGGGAAAGGTCTGGAGCACAGGTCCTGTGAGGAGCTGCTGAGGGAGCTGGGGTCATTTAGCCTGGAGAAAATGGGGCTTGGGGGGACCTTATAACTCTCTATAACTGCCTGAAAGGATGTTGTGGTGAGGGGATTGGTCTCTTCTCCCAGGTAACAAATGRCAGGATAAGAGAAAATAGCCTCAAGTTGTGCCAGAGGAGATTTAGATTAGATATTAGGGAAAATGTCTTCATAGAAAGGGTTGTTAAGCATTGGAACAGGTTGCTCAGTAAAGTCATGGAGTAACCATCCCTGGAAGTGTTAAAAAATGTGGATATGGCACTATTTGTAAAAAAACGTGAGGATGTGGTTTAGTGGTGAACATGGTGGTGGTACTGTGTTGATGGTTGGACTTCATTATCTTAGCAGTTTTTTCCATCCTGAAGGATTCTATGATAAGATGCTCTAYTAACTTAGTCTCAAAGCCACTCAAAGCCAAGCAGTTATTGGTTTCCTAGGACGCTTACTATGCTGGACTGAAAATATGTTTAAACTTACTGAGTTTGAGAATGAACARAACACTTACCTGCTGTGCTACCACTCTGTCTTTGAGTTCTGTGCTTCAGAATCCTGCCACAGTCAGTGTAATTGCTTGGGTACTTCTCATGCAGTTGATATAATTCATCTCTTTAAAGGCATGGTGTGCTGGGGAATTTGGATTTTTTTTCCTTTTTTTTTTTTTTTTAAGAAAGCTTAATTTAATGAATTTTTATTATAAATACTCCAAGTAATGACGTCTAGTGTTTGTTTAGGAGTATTATTTCTTTGAAGAATCATTTTGTATTAAAGATCTATTTTTTTAAGATGTATGCTAAAATTATGTGATTATTTTCTGTTAAAAATGATTTTTTGCATGTCCCAAGGGTGCTTTAAATCAAAGATGAATGAAAAGTATAAGAAAAGTTGCTGGAATGAATGCCATTTTTATCAAAATAAGAGTGTACATGTAGTGAAGAGATCTGAATATGAATAAATGAATACATGTGCGTTTGTGGGTATGTCTAATGTGTCTGAACAGGGGGAAAATTCACCTTTTGTTTTGTTTCTTTGTTTTTAAGGGCTCACAGYTTGTCTCCAACGGATCATCTGGCAGCATTTTACTTGGCACTGCAGCTTGCCATATCCAGACAGGTTAGTTATGTTTTAAAAGTGCAGCATCATGCTGTCATAYGAAGATTAGAATTTTTATCTGTTGATGGATTTTTTTTATCTGTTGGTGGATACAGATGAAGATTTCTTCAATGAAAACCTGATTTTCCTTGTGCACATATTCATATATATGAAAAAAGCCCTGAAATACTKTCTCCAAACATCTTCAGTCTTATGCAGTTCTTCAGAGTTCTGACAATATTTCCARCTCTAGGTCAGAAATAACACAGAAGTAATTCCACTTACTTCAGCATTTATGTTGCTAGACAGAGAGAAATAAAGTCATTTTCTACCATATTTTTACCTGTTATGTGTAATCTCTGCTTGGATTCTAGTCTTGGGGCTCTTGAATCCAGTCTTTAACGATCTTGACAGTGCTTAGATCTTGAGTACCTGCTAGTCTCCATGCCCTTCCTGAATCCTTACATGAGGCTTCGTTATTGTAAATGGAATTACAAGAAAGTGTTTAAGAAAACTGGAAAATACTTTAACGCTATAAAAGAGATCAGAGCTTAGTCCRACTGGTACAGTTGTTATGTTTAAGGTATTCTACCATACTTGAATTTGGATAATATGGAACTGCTTTGTATATCATGGTGAGCCTCTTCCTATGTCCTGTTTATTTCACAATGTAGCTCTGAGCACAGTTATTTACATTCTCTTGGTGACTGCTTTTCATTGCTAATGAGTAGCACCGATCTTGTACTATGTCATGTTACAGTGGAATGGATTGTCACTTTACTAGCACAAAATATTTTTGAGTAGCAGGCTGTGACTCTGTACTTCTGAATTCCAAAATTCTCGTGTTGCTTTATTAAATTTCCTGGGTTTAACACTTACTGTAGTTATTTTGAACAAAAACACATGGAACTGAGGAGATAATGAAATTAYACATAAAGAAAAGTTAGTTGCTGTTTAACTGTACATTTTATTTGGGCATTACAATTAAAATACTTTCAAACTCATACAGAAAAACAGCCAGGACTTGAAAGAGAAGAGTAAGTGAAGGGAACTGTTTTATAGAAACATGTACCTTTCCAGTGTTAACAGATAATGTAATTTCTAGTGTTCACTCTAGAGCATCAGGTCCATTTTAAGCTTCTCAGTGTCTTTCAGTAGTGTATGGAATTCTACATGTTATCTGCRTAAAAATTTTGAAAATTTTATGGATGTCAATCAAGTAAAAGGCAATACTTCTAATAGTGGTGCTTTCTTTTTCTGCCTTTTTTTTTTATTTTATTTTTTAAATCAGATACCAGAAGCTTTGGGTTATGTTCGTCAGGCTCTGCAGCTACAAGGAGATGATGCCAACTCTCTTCATCTCCTTGCACTCTTGCTATCAGCCCAGAAACACTATCATGATGCTTTGAATATCATTGATATGGCCTTGAGTGAATATCCAGAAAATTTTATGTGAGTGAATGTCATGTTTCCTTTCTACGCTTTATCTCAAATTTATTTTTCCTGGATTCTCATCTCATTCATTTCAAGAGGGGATGGATTTGAAGATTGGTCTGGGTTTTATTTTTCCAGCAGTCTTCCTTCCTGCCCATTTAATGCAAGTCTGCTTATTAAAGGCTTGTTAAAAGGTGATTAAGGATTTAGTTTGGATAGTTGGTGTTGTTTTGTTTTTTTCTACACTCCCTGTGTAGGTAATTTCTCCCTGTTGCATGCTTTATAGTATGTTTCTGTCTTCTATTTTTATGCAAAATTCCAAGAAGGATAAACAGGACTTTTACTATTAACTAGGACAGATTTATCCCATCCTACTGATAACTATGRATATTGTATGGAATCTGTTTTGTAAAATACATCATAAAACAGAGAATCTCCTCTTTTGCTTTGATAATAACCAGCCATTGGCTGATAGATAACTAAATAAGTCAACAGGGAAGAAGCATGTTTGCTAAATGTTCTCTTACTTAAGAAAGGAATCATTCTTTCTGTTTGTTTTTCATGTTAAGTAGATCTTAACATATATTTGGATTTTTTATTTTTGGAAGGGTTTTTTGTTTGTATGTTTTAAATTTATTTTCTTACAAAAATCTAAAGAAATTTTTATAGGAAAATATTTCAGGGGCAGCTTCCTTTAACTTTCAGTCTTCCTCTTTGATGCTTTACCAGCTGTCACTGAGGCTGTAATTCATATTACACATACCCTATATGCTTATTTGGACAATTTTCTGAAGTATCTAATTCTTAACTTCTAAATGACCAGCCTATATCACAAATGGTTATTATATCAGTGTACCAGAAAAATRCGATTTCTTCAGTTTTATTAGTTTGAAAATAGAGACTATAGTGGCTTTCCCTCCTGTTCCTTGACATTTCATGTCTCCTTTTGACTGTCTCTATAAGGTACTTTTGCCTTTTTCCTCACAAATCTGACCAGGACCTCTGTTGATATCACCTTTTGTCAGAACTTCGGTGGCTTGTAGCCAGTTCTGTGCAACTGCTTTTGTTGCCTTTTACTGTATCTCACTTCCTAGTTTATCCACACAGCTATGGCTTGTCTTGGTTCTTATCAGGGGCTTTTATAAGTGTTTCCCTATTTTGGAACTATGTAGCAGTTTCTCTATCAAACCTGTGCTTTCGTCAGGACGGAGTGACTTGTCAGTAAGTCAAGGTTTGAGAGGCAATTGAAGTATCAGCTACCTAATTTTATACCCTGTTAATGTTAAAGACAAATATGTTCAAAGACTATATTACTGTCTTCTTCTGCCTGTTCTCATTTCATCTTCTGCCACTTAGTGGCAATGTAAATAACATAGATGCAACTGCTATGTGTCTCAGGGCAGTAATAGTCCAGAAGTATTTCTAAAACTGTAGTTTCAGAACTCCCTATTATTATGAGAGAAACTCCCTRTGATATGAATCTGTGCTGCAATGAGAGAACAAAGGTTCATTCAGTAAAACGTCTAAAATTACTCTTGTGAGCATTCRAAAGGTATTTATGGGTTTTTCAAAGGTGCTTTGTGGCCTTTCCAGAGTAGTTTATACTGCAACTCTTGTTAAACGTCCAAATTGCTCATTACAGCCCTGACCTTTTTATTAATGTAGTATATATAACATATATATATATGTATTTATATAAATCATATGGGTCATAATAATGGTTCTAAATTGTTGGTCCTTTTGTATAATACAGACTCTGTGGTGATACAGTGTACTGTGGTACAATCCACTGGTACAGATCAGGGAATTTGGGAGGCTAATTTGGCAGTAGGAATCAACATCAGATGTGGCAACAAATGCTGAAGAATCCAAGGTGAAACAGTTTTATGTCTCTCTAGGAAGTCTTTTAGAGTCTTGTTTTTAGTGCTGTCAAGTTGCCAGARAAGTTAAAAATATGATTGAGATTTCTTGTGTGCTTTCTGCAATTGATACTGACAGCCAGACAAGCACATCTGGTCAATAATATAAATTGGGATTGATTCAGTCATCTAACTGAGTTATTTTTGCAAGGATTTATCAGTGTTTGAAAACTATATCTGGGCCTCTTGAACTGGTGGACAATGTGTATATGTATATGTATAAAATACAAAACACAACTACTTCATGTATTGCTGAGTCCATTTTCTTATTTTGCAACTTATGTGAACAATATAATCTTAGAGTATTTCCTAGTAGACTGGAAAGAAATCCTCATGTGTTCTTCTATAACTTGCTAATTTTTAGGTACACTGATTATTTGCCTATGGTGCTTTATTGGCTTTTCTAAACACTTCAGATACCTTTATGCTTTATCTTTCAGTTGTGTCTGCAATCCAGTAAGCTAAATAATAAAAGGCATACTACTTGGTATTCTCTGTATTGCTGTCAGAATTGTTTACCCCAGCTTTATGCAAACTGATACTTCAATGACTTTACAGCATAATAAATCTCTATATTTGAAAATATTAAAGTAAAACATTGTGCTTGTGATTCATGYTATTTCTTATTTCTTTCATTTCTTGTGCATTATTCCTATCTGTATGCTTCTATATCCTGTAATTGCCTTGCTGCACTGAGTGCTGTTGTGCTCTCCTCACAGCTGTATTGCTCTTTTTTAATTTCGTATTTCTTTTAAAAGAGTCTACATTTTCAGGAGTTTAATACAGCATCTTTGTAAAATGCCAGAGGTTGCAAGGAACTCAYAGGATACACCATTAGTCATGCTGAGAAGTGGCTACTTTCCAGCACTCTTCTGTTGCAATCAATTAGTAAATACGTTTGTCAGTTTTTTACATTTGAAAACCTGGTGCATTCCTAGAGTTTGTGTTCAGTATTTGAAGTGTACAGCAAGATTGGATCCATGCTGTTGGATCCGCAATTAGTGTTAACCTTCTTGCACTATAAAACTAGAGAGTTAGCCAGTCAGATTATGGTTTTGCCCTGGGCATCTTAGGTCAGTAAGTAGAAAGAAGTTCCTCAGAGCCAAAGAATTCTGTCCCATCATTATCTAAAGGAGTGAAAGGAAAGAACAAACACATTGGATTGTTAGCAGCAAGGGATAGCTTTTTCTTTGAATGGAGAGTTGATTGTTTCTCCTGTATTCATTATATAGACAGCATAAACATGCAGTTTGTTGTGAGATCTGAATAGGTATTGGGAAAACTATTGGCAAAAATCTAAGAAACCTCTAAAAGTGGAAATAGGTATGTAGCAATATTTCTTTCAGCAATAATAAAAAATAAAGTTATTTATTGACTATCTATAGCAATAGCGTTTCAAACTTCTTGTAAGCTTCAGYTGCTAGGTTGTAGCCACTGTACTTATAAAGATGTCAGCTGTATGAATACAATCATCTCCTTTTAAATGCTAGCTAATCTTTGAAGCCTCCTGCAATCTGAGCATGCTTTAAACCAAGTACAAAAATATCTCGAGACAAAAAATTACCTCACAGAYTGAGATACTGAACAGATTATGAATACTGTAATGAGATGGGTGGGAATAAAGTGATAGCACCAAAAAAACCTGAATAGTTAATTGAACCAGGTTCTGCTGTATTTCAATTAATTTAAAGTTAAGGTTTTGCTCCTTTCATTAGATAACTTGTCCCAGCAGTAGAAATGTGCAATTTGAGTCTCCAGCTTGGCAGGATTTGAACCCACAAATGATGCAGCTCAGAGCCCAAACCATCAAACTATGTGGGAAGCTGGGTGAGATGATCCATTTCTCCTCCTGAAACAGAAGAAGGGATATGCTGCCCTGAATGCAGAGAGTTGGCAGGAAGGAGCCACAATATATCCTAAATTGCAAAAGTACTTAGCTGTGAGGGGGCTTGAGGTCTCAATTGCTTGGGTTTTCCTTGAGTTTTATTTATCTTAATCCAGTGATTTCCCACTCTGAATGTGTAAGTAGTCTCAGAGGTGTGTTCAAGGTGATGCAAGATGATGGTGGTTGTGTTGCATTGCTTCGTATTGGGCTTGTAGATCTTGTGCAATATATATGGTACATGTGCTATTACCTGAGCAGCCTTATTTACAAACTCCATTATTATTCCCTGGGGTCTTTTTTTATCTGCTTGTTACAGAGAATTTATAGCTTAGTGTTGTTTTGAATGATGTGAAATCTTGAAACAACTCTTCTGTCGGTTTTTAATTCATGACTGGTCAAAAGTAGATTCTCACTCAAGGGAGACTGAGTCAGGTTTCTTAGTGAAAGACTGGGGACATTGTTTTCCTAATCTTAACTGTTTGGGGTTCCCTTATTATTTGAAATGTTGGGGCACTTGAAGATTAATATAGTGCCTACAGTTAGTGTAATTAGACAAAGCAAATAGTAAATTGCTAATTTTATGCTGTAAATTGGAAGTGCAGTGGATAGCAGSTGACAAGCTTTTAAAGTAGCAGAAGTAGGGAACAGCAGATGGGTTATTTGAGGAGTGCAAGCATGTTATTTTAATGTTAAGTACACTCAAAAAGGAAAGACATATGGTAACAGGTTTGAAGACAACTGAAGACTAAGTTCACAGTTTAAACATTTACATTTCTTGAAGTGTGATGGAAATTTTTTTTCTTCCAAGAATATTTCACAGAAGCATCAGGCCAATATGTCATTCCTCTGAAAACTATTAAATCTTTTCCTTCCTGACCCTCAAAGACTTTTTTGAGCTACATTAGATTTTCCAGAATCACAGGGCGTTTTAACATCCCTCTCAGTTCAGTGAGTAACAAACTTGTTCCCTTCTTGGAGACGTCCAGGTGGGCATAAAAGAAGAGCTGGTCGGTACAGGCAGTGTAGGATGATTCATACACTGGTGTTTTGTGGGACAGGAAGATACTTATCAGCTAAAGGAAACAGACTACTCTATTCTGCTTTCCCAAGGTCACTTGTAGTTGCACTGTAGTGTGTGGTTGCTGGTAAAACTTGAGCTTTTGTGGGTTTTTTTCCTTGATAAATAGAGCACTGGAAATTATTTAAGGAAAGGC